TGTTCCACGGAAGCATTGAGGGGAGTGAAGGGTTGACGGTTCCTCTGAGGAGCAGGACCTAGCCGGTCCTTGACAGGGACTTTCTCTGTCCTGCCATATTTGTTGCTGGTTTCCTTCTTATCGTCCTTCTCTCTTTCCTTCCTTTTCTCACCAGCTCTGGAAGACTCACCCCGCCTGGCCCTTGTGATGTCTTCTGCGTTTATGTACTTTTGGGCCTTGGCTAGCAGCTCTGGCATGCTCTTCGGTGGGCGCTTCAGAACTGAGAAAAGGAAGCTTGATGAACGGAGGCCACCCAAGAAGGCGGTCATCGTCACCTTGTCGTCGGGTTCATCAACTTGGAGTACCTCCTCGTTAAAACGAGTGAGGTAACTCCTCAGGCTCTCCTCGCGGTCCTGTTTTATACTAAGCAGGTGCGTAACTGGCTTCTGGTGGCGACGCCCTCCAATGAAGTGTGAGACGAATGATTTGCTAAGCTCGGCGAAAGAGGCAATAGAGACGGGGGAGAGCTTAGCAAACCACTGTCGGGCAGACCCCTTTAACGTGGTTGGGAATGCCCTGCACATGATTTCGTCTGGTACGTTGTGCAATTGCATCAAGGTCTTGTAAGTGTCGAGGTGGTCCAGTGGATCCTTTGTTCCATCAAAGGTCTCCCCAGATGACATTTTGAACTTCTGAGGGAGGGGGGTAGTTTGTTACATCAGGTTTGAAAGGCGTATCAGTACGCCTTATCAGGTGGTCAACAGTCTCAGGTCCTTGTGCCTTCATGGCGTTGAAGACATCACCGAGTTGATTCTGTACCTCTTTTATCTTCTCGTCTCAATGATTGGGGGCTCCTCTGGAATGATCATGGAAGTGGCTTCCATGCTCCATACTTTGATTTTCACTCTCATCCTCCTGGAGATAAGGGTCCTCTCCCTAGGAAGTAAGGGGAGGGGGAGGGGGAGCTCCCTCATGTTAGGCTTCCCGAAGTGGGGTGCCCAATGGGGCGCCCGGGTGTGGAGCAACAGGGCGTGGTGCTCCTTGATGTCCAAGACGTGGAGCTCCTTGGAGTGCTCTATGTTGTGCACCTCCGTGGGGCCCTCCATGTTGTGCACCTCTGTGTGGTNCTGGAATAGGATGTGTTCCACGGAAGCATTGAAGGGAGTGAAGGGTTGACGGTTCCTCTGAGGAGCAGGACCTAGCTGGTCCTTGACAGGGACTTTCTCTGTCCTGCCATGTTTGTTGCTGGTTCCCTTCTTATAGTCCCTCTCCCTTTCCTTCCTTTTCTCCCCTGCTCTGGAAGACTCATCCTGCCTGACCTNAGTAATTGTTGTTTTGAGCAACCAGTTGCTGCATGGTCTCTAATATTTGCTGGGGATTCGGAGCTAGAGTATCCGAAATAGGGTTGATAGGCGGGGGAGCAACCTCCTCCTCTCGTGGAGGATTGTCTTCATGTTGGTTCATGGATCGAGTAGTGATCGCCATTAGTTAATGGATGTAATGTTCAGGAGTGAGAATTTTGTCGATTCCCACAGACGGTGCCAAACTGATGATGCACAAAAATGGTTTTGCACACCATCTGTCAAGTGTCGGTAATAAATGCAGTGAAATCAATGAGAAAATTAAAGAAGACACGATTTATAGTGGTTCGGTCAATTCGACCTACGTCCACTCTTCAATGGCTTCAGTTGCCGGGTATTTTATTAATTCAAAGGTATGGAGAATAGAGATACAGCTTTGAGAGAATGGAGAATCAAAGAAGCAGTGGTCTCCGGTCGTCGGTCTGTCTCCTGTAAGTGTTGGTGGGGCGTGTCATTTATAGTAGTCTCCTAACAGATTGGGGCTACTTTATAGCATCTAAGAGATCATTCTTGTGGAGATCACGACTTATCCTCAAGGCTACTTTATCGCAGCTAAGAGATCATTCTGGTGGAGATCATGACTTATCCTCAAGGCTACTTTATAGCACTAAAAGATCATTCTGGTGGAGATCACGACTTATCCTCAACGGAAGGAGGAGGTTTGGGAGCTCTTCATGAAACACGGTCAAAGATTGGACCGTTTCTTTCGGTGGTGCAGATAAACTTCTCATGCTCTCCTCTTGATGACATGCTAAGCAAAAAGTCTAACCGGTCTTGGACTGCCTTGGGCTTGGTGGATTAAAAATGAGGTTGGGCTCCTCAACTGGGGTTGGACTTTAACACATAAATTGGACTATTTGGGCTTAACCCATCAAGAATTACACAAGATAAAGAGAAATTGCACATGTCTATCATCATCTATATTTATCCAAACAAACCTAGATATCATAAATCTCTTTGGATCCCGTCATATCTCTACCTGCATATTGATGGATTCCTATTCATCCTATTATATCTCTAATATTGTTAAATGAAACATATAGTGCAATTAAACAAAAAATAGCCAAAGCTATTGGAATACAACGATTGAAAAATTAACAAAAATAAACCACTAAGACCTTAACGTCTCTCAATCACAAACATTCCAGGGGTTTCGCTCAATCCTTAAGCCTCTACTTTTCTCTCTTTTGTTTTTCCCACGTTTTAATTTTGGCAGCTGGCTTCACTTCAGCTTCAATTCTTTAGTCTATAATCAGCAGCTGATACACCAGTGGCAACTACCACTAAAGTGCTTTAGATAAACTTGCTCTTTGAATATTTTTGTTTTTGGGGCTTCTTTGCTCCAACACTTACGAACATGGATATTAATCCCTATTATAAGTTATAACCAGAAGACATGTTTTTGTTCTGTATGTTCCTCATGTGTATAATTAGGACAACGTTGCTAGCAAATTCTATATGGGCCGAGCCACCCTTTAACAGGTACTCCTCCCACAAAATTCACTTTTTAATTTTTTAGCTTCACACGTATGCCTTTGAAAGTGTGTATGTGTAGTTTGGTTTAGTGGGTGTATTAGTGTGGGGGGTGTGTTTGTTGAAATTGACAGAGAAGTAGAAGACAAAACAGATGAAAAAGAAGGAAGTCACAAAAAATGCACTCAATCAATTATTGAAGGATAATTTATTCGGTGCAAATGAACTGCCTTACATAGGCATACAAAGAACATGAGAAGAGGCCACATTGCCTTATCTTCTCCTACAAAATCTACAACCACTAGAGACTAGTTAGCAATCACTTAACTACTTGCAAAAGACTAGGAAATTAGCATAACTAACAGACCCACTAACTTCAAGACTTAAGCTAACAATTACTATACTAAAAAATAGCAATAAACTCAGTCAAACCATCACGTGCTGGTGTTGTAATTCCAACAGTGGTTTGGTGTATTTGTGTGTGTGTGTGTGTGTTTTTTAGTATGGGTATATGTGTGTTTTGCTATATTAGTGGATGTGTATATGTATGTGTGTGTATTTTTGTGGTGTATTAGTGTGTCATTGTGCGTACGTGTGAGTGATGGTGTATTAATTTGTGTGTGGGTGTGTGTACTTTATGGTGTATTGGTGGGTGTGGAAGTGTGGGTGCTTTGGTGTATTAGGGTGTTGATGTGTATTCCGGCGTATTAGAGTGTGTGTTTTTTTTTTTTGTATATAAGTGCATGTGCGTGGGTGTATGTATGTGTTTTTTTTTTTTTGTATATTATTGTGTTTGTATTCTGGTATATTAGAGAAAGTGTCCATGGGGGTGTGCTTGTATTTTTGGTGTATTAGTATGTGGGTGTGTAAGTATTTTTTTGGTGTGTTATTGTGTCTTTTATGGTGTAGTAATGTGTGTGTATAAAATTTATTATTTGTTTCAAAAAAGTAATTTTCTTTGGTTTTAGAAAAAAACCAAAGAAAATGTTGCTTTTTAAAAGTTATTTTTTTATATCCAAAAACAAACACTATTTTTAGAAAAACGTTATCAAACTATGCGTTTAACGCCCAAACGTGTTATCATTCCACCGACAAAAGATAAAGTCAAAACATCAATATTATTAAACACTCAATCAATATTTGTAGTTGTAGATGGCTTGGGACAACNTAAATGTTATTAAACACTCAATCAATATTTGTAGTTGTAGATGGCTTGGGACAACCCCGACTGAAGATGCGTGCACTCTTATATATATTAAGTATTTAAGATTATTAACAATTAACGTGCAAAATAAAATAAAATCAAAGTGAAAGGAGAGGAACAGGTTCTTTCTCTCTCTCTCAAACTAGTTGGTGTTATTTTGGAAAAAAGGAATGTAGTTGGGTGTGTAGACACATAAAATATAATTTAATCAAATTGTGCAGGAAAAAATTCGCACAATCAATAAAATGCTGAAGGTGCATCCTTAGTCTTCGAATTTCATCCGGTCCATGAACTGTAAAACAGAAAAAGGTTAGAGGAACCCTCGACATTGAGCTAGGGGAGGCCCCTCCAATGTCTAAGTCAGTATTGTAATTAATACATGAATAGACAAGTGTATAAATTAAAAAATAATATAGGTGTGTGTATGTGTAGAGTATGGAGCCAAGATGCTCATACTTTAAGTCCCTTTTTCTTGGGTCTTTGTTCATATATATAGAGAAGGTTAGAGAGTTACTTATCCTATTATTCAGCTGTCAATACAAAAAAGTAGGTATAAATTAACATATCAAAACACTCATTACTGTCTCCTTGAGTTGGCAATTTTGTCTTAGGAAAATAAATAAAGGGTCTCGTTATGACATATCCATGTGATGCGGAACTGTTTGTCTCCTTGAGTTGACACCTTGAGATATGTATTTTTACAAGTCTTTTAAATTGTGTTGGACTCTGATTGATCCATGAAGGTGGTTGGCAACTTTGTCTTGGAAAGATAAATCAAAAGTTTTATTATAACATACCCATGTGATGTGATGTGGAACCACCTCATTGAAGCAAAATATGGTCCTTTCAAAAAATAAAATTTGAAAGCAAACCAATAAAATTCGATATGCTATCTTATCTGTTAGTTCCAAGGAGGACTGAGTACTGGTGGCTTGCCTATAAGTACTAAGCTATTGATGGGCTTGCCATTCCAGGTACAGATAATGGGTCTCAACTCAAGTCTGAGAAAAATGGCCTTGCTGTCTATTTTCATCCTTTTCTTCTTTCTCCCTTATGTAGTGATTTCTTCTGTCCCATATCCATCNCTTCTTTCTCCCTTATGCAGTGATTTCTTCTGACCCATATCCATACTTCACCAAGCTTCCTCTGCCTACAGGAGTTACAGGCCCCGATTGTATTGCCTTTGACCCCCTGGGTGGAGGACCTTACGCCGGTGTCGGAGATGGCAGAATTCTCAAGTGGCAAGGTCCAGGTGTTGGATTTCAGGATTTCGCCTACACTTCACCAAATAGGTAACTCAAAACACACACACACGCACACAGAGGGAGAGGGAGAGGGAGAGAGAAGACTGTCTCTGTCACTCCCGTTTCTGTTATGCATTTATTATCTCCATGTATGCTGAAATTTATTTTTCCGTTCTAACCATTTTTCAGAACTAAAGATGTTTGTGATGGCACGAATGACCCACATTTGGGACCCACATGTGGGAGACCTTACGATTTGAGCTTCCACATTTTGAGCGGCAATCTCTACATCGCTGATGCCTTTCTTGGTCTATTTGTGGTGGGATCGGAAGGAGGGCTTGCAACCAAACTTGCCACCAGTGCAGAAGGTGTCCCTTTCCGCTTTCTGTCTAGTGTGGATATCGACCAATTGGATGGAACTGTTTATTTCTCCGACATTAGTGAAACATTCGACTTAAGGTACTTCTCCAATTTCACCAGTTTTAATCTATCCAAGACTAAATTGACCAAAAAAATGATACTTTAGAGACCAAAAAGTGCTTTTAATCTTTTTTTTTTTTTACTATTTATAATTGAGCTGATTGATCAAATAAAAAGGTTGTTAAAAACAGTGAAATTTACATGTGCAGTAACGTCACACAGCCAAATTTCAAACCTGACTCAAGGAGTGGAAGATTATTGAAGTATGACCCCATAGAAAAGGAGGTTATTGTGTTGATGGGCGGAATCAGTGGTTCAACAGGGGTAGCGCTGAGTGTGGACAGCACATTCATCGCCCTGTCCGAGTTTTTAAATGATAGGATTCTGAAGTTCCATCTCAAAGGTTTGAAAGCGAATACAGCCGAGGTTCTCTTAAACATCAATAAAAACCCGAATAAAATCAAGAAGACAAAATTGGGAGATTTCTGGGTGGCGGAGGACATTCTAGAAGAAGGGCTTACCCCAGTTACTAAACCACAAGGGATAAGGTTTAATGCGTTCGGTGAAGTGCTCGAAACAAAGGATTTTTCTGCCCAATATGACCCTGCTAGTCTCCACACTATTAAAGAGTATAATGGAGCATTATATACAGGGTCTCGGTCTGCCACAATTGATTTCGTTGGTATATATACATACACAACAACTGACGAACTATCAAGTGGCATCAAAATAAATAAAAGATTAACAATTGTTGTATCCTGATTACGTTAATTTGTATGTTTAATAAAACAGTCCCTTTGTATTATTATGTCTCTTTTTAATGAAGTCATTTCATCTCTCCTACACAATCTCCTGCTCCATTTGTATTATGATGGCTTTTAGACAATCCCAGTCCTTCCTTGGAGTAATCAGTAAAGGACAAATCACAAGTTTTTGTCTTGCCTTTTACATAATTTACAACCCTCTAACATGGGTCAAGTTTTAATTTGGACTTAGAAGTTCCAATCAGGATAGTCATACCTTAAACATTTAATTGAATTCCACTTAAGTCCTTCCATAAAAATTTGTTAACTTAGGGGGTGTTTGGTATGGTGGATAAACCCGGATTACCCCCCCAAGGATTGGATAAAAAAGAGGTGGACCTCATTTACCTTGATTTGGCAAGGAAAAATGAGTCTGGACATTCGTAGTTATTAAAAAAATCGGTCCGTATGATTTCACCTCTTTTATCCCTTTTAAATAGGATACTCAAATCCCACTAAAAATTTGAGATTATCTTTTTGTCGACAGGATTGAGGGTGAAATTTACCATTATACCCCTCGCCACCCTTTTGTTTATATTCACTTTTCCCTTTTGAATGGTCCCCCCCCCAACTTACCCGGGAATAGCCACTCTCCTCAATTGGCAAGAAAGGTATGTTTCCTTTCTCTATCTATGTCTATCTATGTCTCTCTCTATATCTATCGCCCTCTCTCTTTGTGTACGTATATATATAAATATATATTTACAATCAGTAAAATGTTCTATACACCCTTTAAATACACACCCCCATATGTAATGTACCAAATTCAGGTGCTTATAAAGACAAACAAGGCATTAATCATACAATGAAGGAATTTAAGAGTTAAATCAATACATATAAGCATATACATGGTGGCTGACCTGGTGATGGAAGAATGCTCGCGTTGGGGGTTTCGGGTTTGAGACGACAAATGATAAGTCATGGGGAGATGGGTCCCACTGAGAAATGTCAACCAACCATCTCTGATCACCCATTTCTTGTTCCATTTTCACACCAAAATTTCTCACGTATGATCTGAACGGTATCATCTCAATTTTAGTTGTTCAAGTTGCAGATTTTTTTTTTGGGCACAACTATATGAAGGTGATACTCGACACTCCAACTTTTCTCTTAGATAATATAATACTGCTAACACAAAAAAAAAATGTATTTAAAAAAAAATTGATATATTGTCCTCATATGGTGTAGAAGGACCGAAATGCAAAAGGCATGCGAGATAAGTCGTGACCTTACTTCAATGACTGGGGAGTACGCTATCAATATTGAAGACATGGTTGTCGATGCCAAGATGGAAGGGTCAATGCAGGAAGTTGAGAGCATGGATGCACAAACTCCAGTACGCAATAATGAACCGGTGTCCAGTAGTGCAACACATGGAGCTGATCAACCACCTCATATGGAACCTAGTGTTGCCCCCCCCCCCCCCCCCCCCCCCCCCCCCCCCCCACAAAAAAAAACCCCCCCCCCCCCCCCCCCCCCCCCCCCCCCCCCCCCCCCCCCCCCCCCCCCCCCCCCCCCCCCCCCCCCCCCCCCCCCCCCCCCCCCCCCCCCCCCCCCCCCCCCCCCCCCCCCCCCCCCCCCCCCCCCCCCCCCCCCCCCCCCCCCCCCCCCCCCCCCCCCCCCCCCCCCCCCCCCCCCCCCCCCCCCCCCCCCCCCCCCCCCCCCCCCCCCCCCCCCCCCCCCCCCCCCCCCCCCCCCCCCCCCCCCCCCCCCCCCCCCCCCCCCCCCCCCCCCCCCCCCCCCCCCCCCCCCCCCCCCCCCCCCCCCCCCCCCCCCCCCCCCCCCCCCCCCCCCCCCCCCCCCCCCCCCCCCCCCCCCCCCCCCCCCCCCCCCCCCCCCCCCCCCCCCCCCCCCCCCCCCCCCCCCCCCCCCCCCCCCCCCCCCCCCCCCCCCCCCCCCCCCCCCCCCCCCCCCCCCCCCCCCCCCCCCCCCCCCCCCCCCCCCCCCCCCCCCCCCCCCCCCCCCCCCCCCCCCCCCCCCCCCCCCCCCCCCCCCCCCCCCCCCCCCCCCCCCCCCCCCCCCCCCCCCCCCCCCCCCCCCCCCCCCCCCCCCCCCCCCCCCCCCCCCCCCCCCCCCCCCCCCCCCCCCCCCCCCCCCCCCCCCCCCCCCCCCCCCCCCCCCCCCCCCCCCCCCCCCCCCCCCCCCCCCCCCCCCCCCCCCCCCCCCCCCCCCCCCCCCCCCCCCCCCCCCCCCCCCCCCCCCCCCCCCCCCCCCCCCCCCCCCCCCCCCCCCCCCCCCCCCCCCCCCCCCCCCCCCCCCCCCCCCCCCCCCCCCCCCCCCCCCCCCCCCCCCCCCCCCCCCCCCCCCCCCCCCCCCCCCCCCCCCCCCCCCCCCCCCCCCCCCCCCCCCCCCCCCCCCCCCCCCCCNTTGTTCCCCCCCCCCCCCCCCCCGTGTTCAACCAAGAAAAAGAAAGCTAAGGTGAGTGGGAATGCCTCTGAGATAATTGCAAAAAGTTTGGGAGACATCTCTAAGGTTTTTAGTGAATAAGTTCAAGAAAGTCGAAAACAACTAGACATTATTGCACATCGAGTTGGATACATGCATGATGTTGCTGAAGCTAGAAAGAGAGTAAATGAAGAGCTTGAGAAGATAGAAGGTATATCCATGGTTGGTCGTCATGCAGCAATGTTTAAGATTTGTTCTGACCCAGTAAAGGTTGACATATTTTTTTGCTTGCCTGCGTATGAGAGACCTGCATGGGTTGGTAGATTACTGTGGAACACAACCCATCCATGATGAATATCGATTGAACATGTGGGAGACATGTCCGAGTAACTTCATGTGTTTGGAATGTTGTTGTTATGTGAATATTTAAAATGCTTTGTATGTTGGTAGGTAAACATTTCTTAGTTAGAGTACATGTGGTACTATTATAATGTATCATGTTTTGCACTAAGCCACCAAAGTTTTTTATGGGACTTTACAGTTTAGATATCAATGTGATAGGACTTGTATTTGGTGGAATACTTGTTGTGATGTATTGAACATGTTTTGGTCGTCTATATGATAGTCATGTATAATATGTATTACACATTGCATTTAATGTTAGGTACTATAAATGTAAGTAGCAGTAACAACTTTTTTATTGTTGTGCAAATAGCTATGAACAGGAACCAACGTTGGTACGTTGTATTTGTTGGAAAACGGGCTGGAATTTATTAGTCATGGGTTGAGTGTTATTTGCATGTGAATAAGTACCCAGGTGCAGTGTACAAATCTTATGATTCTTACAATGATGCGGCAAATGCTTTTGCCATGCACAATGCGACGCAAGTAGTACCACCTGAACGAGAAGTAGCAATGAGATGGATGTCCATGAACTTGGACCATTGGAAAATTTTATTCAAGAACGGCCAATGGATAATAACAAACAAGCAATTGTTGTACTTGAACATAGCGGCTACAAGCGTGACATGATTTGGTGCATGATTAGTGTAGTAATGTTCATATTGGGTATCGTCCTCACCCGTATTGTGTACTTGGTTATAGGTAGAGTTGATTGACTTTATGATTTTAAATTAATGATTTTCCATATCTTTATGAAGAACTTAGGAGAATGTCCAACGTTTGTAAGTAAAATGGTTTTTGGATTTTAAGTTCTACATATATATGGTTTTGACGTAATATCATGTTGGCGGGTTTGAAGTACATGCGATTGTTTGTGCATTGTGTAGAAATACTGTCAACTTTTGTTTATTATTTGTACTCTTGCATTTACCACAAATTATATTGATATTGTTCTAATGAATGATTGTTATGATTATAGTGCTTAAATGAAGATACCAAAAATAACTGAGGATGAGACAAATGTGTTGATAGACACATTGGTAAACAGAATGTTATCCAAGTTGAATCGACGAATGCCAAAGTTCAGTTTGTCCTTCACCGAGCTCATTAGGATAATATTTTTTTGAGAAAGACAACATCATACGATAAGTAAGATGGTTGATTGTGGTTTATTTGAATGGGATCCAATAACAAAATGTGTGGTGCACAACCCAGTGATACTTTGAGCAAATAGATTCTTGGAAGTAAGTTACATGTTTCCCAACTTTTGTATGTACTTGTTTTATCCTATGCGCATGTTCATTACTCATCAAATTAACACGTGCTTCAAATTGAAACAAGTAGGAAGATGAGTTCGCCGCGCTGTACTGCCTTGCACCATGCCAAAACTATCAATATTTTGTGGTTATATTCAAATGAGATGAAGCCACTTCAAGCAATCAAGAATTGGACAGTGTTGGGTTGTCCCCGTCAGTTAATTCTCCAAGACATGTCGATGTTATAGTCATCGATGATTGACTGGGCCCGTAATGGTTATGTCCAAGGTTCGCAATTACTATGTAACCAATCTGTAGATGTGTGTGTATTAGACTTGGTAATTCCCACAAGCCATTTTGGTAATTACGCAACTTTGCTTGTGGTTGTGTATGTTGTACTAAATATGTGTGCATGTCTTGAACTTACCATTCCAAATATGTTGCCTTTATCTTGTTTGTATAGGTTAAGGCAACTATTTAAATGGACATTGACTGTGCGGTGTATGACGTAGAATGCCTGATAATTGTGTGTGTTTTTATGTCTAAGGCAACGGTTCATTAATTTTAATGTTCATGTTCATTTGCCTTGTGCATTAATTTCTCATATATTCATTATTTATCTTAACTTTTTTTTTTATATTCTTGGTGGATCAAATAATTTTTTGATCGCATTCTAAAAATATTTTCAATTTGGAACGTGTAAAAGTCTGAAGTGTACAATACATAAGTTTTCCTACCATTTCAGTTAAATAGTAAAGTGGTAACCAACAATTCCCAAGCCAAACATGACATAAAATTAGATAGGATTCGAGGGTAAAATTATCAATTACTATCAAACTTATGAGATATTTTAAAAAAAAAGTTATAGTTTATCTATGGGTCCACTTCATCATAAATTACTTACCAAATCTGGGATAGGATTAAGTAATTTGCTTTTATCCCACTATTAATCCCAGTTATTGAGATTTAATTGGATTGGTTAGGACTTTAAATCTAGTCCAATCCATTCGTGATTTACCAAACATGCCCCTAATGCGATAGGATGGAGTCGCCTGACCATTACGATTTATTTAGAAGGAAGGGATCGTTGTCCTATAAAAAAATACAATCTCTTCCCATGGTTATTGATCCGTATCTTTTTGTGTCTACCGACTAGAATCTTTAAACAACAAAACATGTCAAAAAAGTGGAATGCAAGCTACCAAGACAACGAATAACAATGATTAATAACTAGTCAAGATTATTCCAATTTTTTTTTTCAACATAAACAAGCATTTCTGAAAATGTCTAGATGGGAAGACTGAATTGAAACTCAATTAAAAGTTAGTTATAGCATTGATTGTTCTAGTTTGAAAAACTTGCTTCATGCTTGAAGATTATAAATTATAAATTGCCCTAGCTTTTTTCAGAAACTAGACAAATTTTATCTTTGAAAGGGCAAATGCAAGTATGCACCATGACAGATATTGAAAATTTTAATTTATATCCTTAAAGATAAAAAAAAATTACATTACACTACACTCTCAATAGAAAAAATGAAAATTTGATGTAAACTTGCTTGGGACACCTCTTTTTTGGGAGCGACCATTTAAGATGCCCACACTAGAAAAAAACAAAAATGAGAAGAAAATAAAATGTTATTGAAACAATTTGTCACTATTGCAGTTGAAGATGGCTTAGCGCAACCATAATGAACACGTTACGTTGGCTGTAAAAATCTTCTAATAATTTTCAACGAATCTCTCTCATACTTGACATCATCTGTTGTTATCCGGAATATACATAATGTTCTAGAGGTAGATAGGGAGCTTTAGTATACCTAGTATGTATGTGGGTTGTAGCCCTCTTTTTTTTTTTTTTGTCTTGTCCCCGTAGTGGAATAGTTCAAAGAAGATGAAGGGCATTCGAAAAGCTTGAGTGGTTTACATTGAATTCTTAGAATCGTACCTTAAAAGGGTGCACCACAATTCTATTATTTTTCATTTGTTGGCTCGAAAAATTGGAGTTTCATTACTTGGGTTTGGCTTTCTCTCTGATTGGCCGAGTAGTTAGCTGCTCGTCCTTCTTTAAGGATCTGGTTCCAAGATGCTCTTGGTCCGAGTTGTTTTTGCTGAGCCTCCGGCAGGTAAGGTTGAGACTTTGTCGGATATTTCTTGTCTTTTGGCAACACATCAACATCTACCGCCTTTTTTGAAGTTTCACCGCTGGATTTCGATTTGTCGGCAGAAGGAGTTTCACCAATCGCCACCTCCGCTGTTTGAACCTGTGCCTGCCCTGTTTTTCCCTTATCTCTTGAATGGCTTCCATGTGGGCCATTAGAGCTCAACTCCTTTGTCCCATCTGGGTTCACTTTGGCATTAACACGAGCTTCTGGTAGCTCAGGATTGTTGTTTCCAGATCTGCTATCTAGCTTGGCTTTAATGGCAGTAGGGTCCATTTATCAGATGTGGTGATAAAGCAAGGTAGGTGGGGGATAAAGAGGGGTTTTGGGTCTGTGAGAATTAGACAAGGGGGTAAGCGGTGAGAGAATGAGAGAGTGAAAGTGGGAGAGGGTTGGTATCCGGTTTGCAGGAAAGAAAAACGGAATCAGTGGGGAGGGGAGAGTCGATTGGGTGGGTTTCATGGTGGCTGAGAGCGAAGAGCACTCATCGCCTCCAGTGTGGAGTGTAAATTCATAGCATATCACCGAATGCAAAAGATTCAAAGATATCAACACTTCCACTGCCAAGCGCATTAACAGAATTCCTCGTTTGAACTAACTATGACAATTAAACTTGAGGTACGATTCTAAGAATTCAATGTAAACCACTCAGGCTTTTTGAATGCCCTTCATCTTCTTTGAACTATTCCACTACAGGGACAAGAAAAAAAAAAAAAAAGATGGCTGCAACTCACATACACGCTAGGTATACTAAAGCTCTCTATCTACCTCCGGAACATTAGGTATATTTCGGATAACAACAGATGATGTCAAGTATGAGAGAGATTCGTTGAAAATTATCAGAAGATTTGCATATGTTTTTAGATGATGTTGCTGAGCTATGTATTGGATGGTTTGGGCTTAGTCTGTTCAATATTGGCTTGCAATGAACCCATGTTCAAGCTTGATTTCTGCTCTTGAAGTTTGGTTCAAGCAAATTATAGATTACACTTATTTGAGCATCTGCATATATACCTGATTGAGCTTGTTTATTCCCTCAGGTCTAACCAATAATCGTACTTTGAGTTGATTTCATGTTGGAATCGGTGTTAGTCTGAAATGTCATCTCTAACTGTGACCAAGAATTGGAAAGGCACTCGTGCTCCAAATAGAACTATATGGGTTTGGATAACTCATAGATGGGATGTTTGGATTAGACACCATAATGCCATTTTATGAAATACGATATGTCGCTTTATTTTTTACTTTTGTATGCATGATTTAATGGACTAGTTTCAAGTTTGTGCATAACCCTAATTGCCACAATAAGCATTTGATGAAACTGGTTTAATTCTGATTAGACTACAACTTTCAGCTCTGTCATACACTTTATATGAAAGAGCCTCCCATATCAAGAGATGTTTTTCCTAGACACTTGATTAGTAGGAAAATTTACTAGCTCCACTAATTCTATTTTGTTAAAGGACCTAAGACACAAAATGAGGCACTATACCAGATATTTTTTTTCACAAAAATTTTCTAGAGAAGCAAAATAAAAGGTGTTTGTAGAAAATTAGGACAGATACATATTTCTGGTCGACGACATCTTATTTCAGTTTCTTTATGTTATACGTTTTCGAATGGTCCATGTTGTATGGAGTCAAGGGCTGGCCAGGTGTTTGCAGTGTGTGTCTAGGTTTCTGACGCATCCAATCTCTAAGTTATAATACATGGTGACACTCTGTCCAAGTGTGTGTCATAAAAAAAAACTGGACGCCCGATACACATGGTTACACATGTGAAGAGAGAATTAGGCAATTAAATAAAACTAACAAGAAAGTTGAGTGGTTATTTGGGCAAAAATGAAGGGCATTATTGGTAGTTCATGAATGGAGAGGCTTAGTGATGTAGCGGAATATAGGAATACGAAGAACACTATAATTTTAAGTTTAAAACACACACACACACACACACACTCTGAATCCACAGAGAAAGGAACAAGAGAATACCTCCAAAAAGGTATATTGTTCATTTAACCAAATAGAATCATAAGACATAGGACAATTTATAGGAAAAATCTAAACCCTTAGGTTTCCAAAAAGGAAACAAATCCCTAGCCTTAAGAACGTTACCAAAATAAATAAACACATTATATTGAATTAGGAAAATTGACATGGTTTAAGCAAATAATTGTTCTAGAATATTCCTAACTAAACTTTTATTCCAACAACATAAAAAAACTAAACTAAAAAAAAAAACCATACAAATCTGTCATTCTTGTTCTACATCGGGCCCTCCCTTCTAAAAAAAACTCGTCCTCGAGTTTTCATGGTTTGAAACAACTCGATGTGTCAGCGTATATCTACATCAGCTTTGTACTTCAAATTAAGTTTTTCAAGCACACACTTGCATGAATTTGTTATCCCTTCAAGAATTGATAAAATAATCTTCCATTTAGTAACCTCAAGTAACTGTAACAGGACTTTAAGAATTTCTTGCCAAACATCTTGCAAAGTCAACTCCACATTCACCTCACGTTTGACTTGCTTTCAACTCAAGAATGTCAAAACTATGATCAATATCAAATTTTGTCATATAACAAGATTTAACACCATCAACAAATCCATGGTGTATAATTATGGCATCCCTCAAATTGTTGGGATGGTCAAGAATGGTATCGCATAAAATGTCATCATAATCGTCACTGTAATCTGCAATAGGAGCTACATGAGCAGATGAATCATGAACATCTTGTCTCACGTGATAGATAGCAAGACGATCTTGGTTGGGTTGAACATGAGCTCTGTCGTTGTTCACCCTCTCTTGACCGAGTTTCTGGTTTGGACCCACCGTCAACTGGGCAACTATGTCCTACAGTGTTTCCAAGGATTGTTGGCACTGCTGAAATTGTTGTTGTTGTTGTCGGTGTCGGTGTCGTTGAAAATCCATGAATTCGGCTTTTGAAGGAACCCTTTTCACATAATCACCGTTATGGGGAAAGTTGTCATCACTTCGCTAAATAGCGATTATGCCAGATCAATTAAGGTTCTAATATCAATTGATGTAGCATAATAAAGTAACACGAAGAACACAACGATTCTAAGTGTAAAGANCCAGATCAATTAAGGTTCTAATACCAATTGACGTAACAAAATAAAGTAACACGAAGAACACTACGATTCTAAGTGTAAAGAACACACACACTCTAAATCTACAGAGAAAGAAACAAGAGAATATCTCTAAAAATGTATATTATTCACTTAACTGAATAGAATTATAGTACATAGGACAATTTATAGGAAACTCAAAACCCTAAGATTTCCAAAAAGGAAACAAATCTCTAGCCTTATGGAAGTTACCAAAATAAATAAATACATGTCGAATGAATTATGAAAATTGATATGGTTTAAGAAACTAATTGCTACTGAATATTCTCATCTAAACCTCTTCCCACCAGCACTGGACAATGCAAATTTGCCATCATTGAAGTGGATTATTTCACCAATTGGGCTGAAATGGAACCCTTGCCATCAATTACAAAACAAAAAGTTTAGAACTTTACCTGAAAATCTATAATCTGCAGGTTCGGGATACCTAGGGCAATCGTCTCGGACAATGGGAAGTAGTTCGATAACCCCAAATTCAAAAAAAATATGTGCCGAGTTGGGTATAAGAAATTACTTCTCAGCTCCAGCTCATCCTTAGTTGAATGGAGATGCATAAGTAACTATTCGAACTATAAAGGCAAATCTGAAGGCCAAACTCAAAGCCTTAAAGGGATGATAGGTGGAACACGTCCCAAAGGTCCTATGGGTTTACAGAACTACGGCTAGGTCAACAACTCAAGAAACACCATTTGCTTTGACATTTGGAATCGAGGCGGTAGCTCATGTGGAGATAGGCGCTCCATCCTTGAGGACAGAGCTCTCTGAACTCGAGCACAATGATGAGTCACTTCTGCTTAATCTCGACCTTTTAGAAGAAAAGAGTGACAGAGCCTTGAAGCGCATTATAAGTTAACAGAGAATGATAGCTCAATATTACAACAAGAGGGTCAGGCACAGAAGCTTCAAAGTCGAAGATCTGGTGTTGAAGAAACTCCTCTTTGCAGGAAAGGATCCTTCTCATGGAAAGTTAGGGCTCAACTGGGAAGGCCCATACATTGTTTTCAAGATAATCAGACCTAAGAACTACGAATTGCAAATAGAGGAAGGAAAGATCTTGCCTCATTCCTAGAACGCTGACCATTTGAAGAGATTCTTTCAATAACTCAAACACTTGTAAAAGTTCATCATCAATAAAATGGCGAAGTTTCAACTCAGTTAGTGTTTCAAATGATGAGTTCTTTAGATCATAAATAAACGATGATCTCTTCAGCTCATAAACGAAGGATGAATTCTTTAGCTCTTAAACAAATGATGAGATCTTCACCTCATAAATAAACAATAAGCTTTTCAGCTAATAAATAAACGATAGGTTTTTCAGCTCATAAACAATAGATGAGCTCTTCGGCTCATAAAAAAAAGGTGAGCTCTTTAGCTCGTAAACAAATGACAAGTTCTTCAGCTCATGTACGCTCGACTAAAGACAGGCCTCACAATTAAAGGAGCATCTGACTTAGCTCGATACATCAACTAGGATTTTCAGCCCAAACATTACAACTAACAAAGTAAAATAGTGAGGAAATAAGCAAGGTGTTCAACAGAAAAAGTTGTTTAATATTCATAAGAATTGCATGGTTATAGAAAGAAGGAAAAGGAAAGTTCTAAGCCCCCTTAGTCTCCGCTTCAGCACGGATACCTTCTTCTCTAACTGCACATTCAGAGCCTGCAGACGGGCATTCTCAGCTTTCAGCTCGCCTCGTTTCTTCTCCACCCTGAAGTGCTACTTTTTTGTAAATTCCAGCCCCAAAGCTATAAAATTGATCTCACCAGAAAAGGAACCAGACGATTGTGTTGATGAATTGCCCCTTTTGCGCTTCCTTGAAGAAGTAGCAACATCCTCATCCAATTCAGAGGGAGAGGATTCTACGTTAAGAACAGGAGAAAAGGGGCAGGAGATACTCTCTAGAACAACAACGGAGCTAGAACCAATCCCAAAACCAGAGAAGGTTCTAGGAAATGACTAATAACGTGTAAGGGACCACCTCAGCACAAGCCACTTGACTAACTCTCATCATCTCATTGGGGGTCAAACAAGGAACGGTTGCACCACCCCAACACAATCAAGATTCATCATAATATTTGCAAACTGCAAGGGAGAGTAAAGATTCCCTTACCTCTGTCAGAAAAAAGCCTCCAAGAGTAAGTGACTCGAGCACGCTCAAACCGCGAGACCCAAGCACGTAGAGACCGCACCTCAGCAAACTCCCAATAGTCCCAAAAAACAAAGAAAAAATGTTGAGTCCACCCCTCTGGAGAGCCAGAGGCAATGAGGACCAACAGAGAGTTGAAGTGGCGGCTCCATCTGAAGGTACTAAAGCAGGGGGCATGTCGAAAAGAAGATCATAGAAGTGGAGGAACTCGACAACAGTGGAAAATTCATCGTTTTGGAGAAAGATGAGAGGGGCACATTCCAAAGAAGTCCAGAACCCTTCCAACAACGGGATAAATGGACAAACGAAGACCCATCTCAAAAACGCCTTCAAAGAAACAAAATTTTTGCTAAAGAAGAAGGTTGCAGGGCTCATCAGAGGTTGGGACGCGGATGATCAAGGCATCAGAAAGAAGATACCGCCTCCTAACTTCCTCCATCTCTAAAATAGTGATTATGCAAGGGAGCAGAAACACGGCATACCAGGGGCACATCCAACATGTCCTGGCTCATTGTTTGAACAGTGGAGAAGGAGAGGAAGCCATAAACCGAGAAGGAAAACAAAAAGTAAAAATCAAAAAAAGATTACGAAAGATAAAGAAATCCCAAGCTTTAGGTGAAGAATAAGGAATCCCAAGATTTAAGGAAGCGAATAATGCGTGAAGATGAAGAGGTGGCCATTACACTTCCATAATCATGTCAATGATTTAGGAAAGTGGTGTTTTAAAAAAGTAGGTGGGCACAAAAAATAATCCACTTGTCGTTGAAGACTTGCTTACAACAAAAAGGGAAAAGACTAGATACAAACCATGAACATGAGAAATGCAAGTGTTCTCAACATTGACCTTAGGCAGCTCTCAACAACCCAGGACCAGCAGTTGGAATAAAGTCAGAAGAAGCTCATAAACCAAGGATGAGCTCTTCAACTCATGAAAACTCGACAAGCTCCTCAGCTCACAAACCAAGGATGAGCTCTTTAGCTCATGAAAACTCGATAAGCTCCTTAGCTCATAAACACTTGATTAGCTCTTCAGCTCATGAAAACTCAATGAGCTCCTCAACTCATAAGCTATAAACTCGATGAGCTCCCCTGCTCATAAACACTTGACGATAAGCTATCAACAAGCCCTTCATCTCGCGAACACTTGACGAGCTCTTCAGCTCATAAACTATCAATGAGCTCTTCAGCTCTTAAACACTCTAAGACTCTTCAGCTTGCAAAAATCAAAATAAACATCTCTGCTAATGCTAAGATAAGTTCCTCGACAACGAAGAAACACCTAGCTAACAGCTAAAATCTCAACAGAGATGTCCTCAAATCTAAAAGCTAATGGTATAAGGAAAGAATTCACTTCCAAAAGAATAAAGTTCTCCTTGAAGCAAGGGGGACAGAGGGGAAGAACAAAAGTGCAAAACAACTTCTAAAATATGTTCATTCCTCAGAAGAAGCAAAATACAAGTTCTTTTGAATAATAAAAAAAGAGAACAGAAACTTCTTAATCCTAAGTCCCTACAGCAGGATCAGAAGCAGCTTCTGGCAGCTCAACAGCAGGAAGAAAAGCCTCAGACGGCTCAGAAACAGTAGAAATAGTTGAAGGAAGAGGAGCCTCAATAAGAACAGGGGCAAGAGCATCGACCCCAACTAGTGGCAAAGTCACCAAAGGAGGCTGAGCTTTAAGGTCAGTAAGGACATCGCTAGGAACTAAGACCTCTCCAGTAGCATCAGCAATATCAGTAATAGCCAAAACCTCTGCCTCATTCCCAACATTTGTCCTCCCCTCCTCCAAAGGAAGTTCGAATTTGAAGTCTAGGTCTAGGTACTTCTCCACAGTCTGACCCTGAAAAGCAAGGTACCCAGTGGAACAGTTGGTAGCAACCTCGTCCTTGAGCTCAATAATTAGAGTATCCTTCTTTCGAGCTTCAACCCTCATAGCCTCAATCTTTTTTAGTAGAGCAGCGTTGACCTCGACCAACATTTCATACTCCTTATTCATTGTGTCGAAGGATTCAGGGGCCTATATGGTATCCTTGCGAGCTTAGAGCAAGTTGTCTACCTCCGCTTTGAGCTCATCCCTGACTTTTCTAGTATTAGCTTCCAAATCCTTATTGTCAGAGACCAACCCCTCAACCTGAGCTTTAAGGTCATCATTAGAAAACTAAGCTTAGACACCGTCCAATCCTGCTGAGCCTACTCAACTATGTTTCCTAGAGCTCGGACCCTCTTCACCAGAGCACTTGCGTGGATGGCTATCTAAATAGGCGCAGGAAAAAGTCAAGGTCAACAAAAATTACCTTAGCTCGAAATAGAAAAAAAATTAAAGAAATCAAGACTTACCAAGGTTGTTGCATACAAAGCCGTAGTAGCAGAGGAACACAAAAGGATCATCGAGGCCTCCACAATGTCAAATTTAGGAATAATTAAGGCAATGGTCTGAGCAGCAAGGCCGACGTCTCCAATAAGTGAACCCTTACCCTTCTCAATTTTTGCCGGTAGACCCTCCACTCACAAATGAGGACTATTCTCGACGGACCGAGAAGATGAAGGCCCTCGCAAGAGAGGAGCAATGGACTCTAGAGCTCCAGTAGCCTCTGCTGATGAAGGAGAAGAGGAGCCCCCCACACAACCAGCGGACCCCTCAACAAAAGGAGGAGAGACCCCTTTAGAAGAAGAGGTCAAAGCTGCCTCTTGTGAAGTTGGTAGAGGCAAGAAAATCACGTGAGAAGTAACAAAATATGGAAGATAGGGTAGAGGCACATTTGTCCTCTGCACCTTTGATGAAGGTTCAAGCCCAGAGATTGCTCCAACCTTGCGTTTAGCTTTTCTCTTAATCTCGACAATCTTAGCTTTCACAGCCACGACATCTGGAGCCATTAAGTTGGAACCTGAGACAGTAAACAGGTCAGCTAATACAAAAAGAAAGAAAAGAAAAATTAGAGATCAGGGAGGAAAAATCTTACCAGTAGGGTCTTCTGCACCAACAACGCAGATTGGAATCGAAGTCTCAACTCTCACCTTGAGAGGGCTGAATCCTAGCTTGGTAAGCACAAAATGTTTGATCAAGTCAAAATATTTCTCCAGGTGGCAATCTTCGAGCCCTAGCAAAGCAAGCCTATCCTCAACTTAAAGCTTAGGACAAATACTGAAACAACCCAAGGAAATAAGGTCAACAAGCACAACAATGAAATAAGCCAAGTTGAGCTCTCCCTAAACAAGGACTCACCCAGGTTGTCAGGACTTGACCAAGAGCGAGGGACAAGAAGGGTATCATTGGCATTGCTCAGGTTAAACTCTCATTCCTTCTCTGACACAAAAAAAAATAGTTTCTTCCAGTTCTTTTGAGAGCTAGGCATGTCAGTAATCAAGGCTTGGGTCTTCACCCGTTTGAAAATGTACAAAAAGTCATCAGGTTGGAACTTGACGTTGAAGTATTTCATGAGCAAAGAAGCTGAGGGGGTACCGATATTATTTTTCTTAAAAAATACAAGGAGGCCCACCAGGACACCCCTGAAGTTGGGGGAGGCCTGGGTAGGGCAAACATCAAAGTGCTCGAGGACAGATTTGATGAAGAGGTGTATGGAGAACCTAAGTCCATTCTCTAGAGAGGCTACGAAGAAGCAGGTCTTCCTAGGGACCTTAAAATCATACATAATGTCTACATAAAGGATCCAATAGCACATGCCCCTGGGCAAGCCAAACCTCTCAGAAAAGACACTCATAAGAGGAGGTGTAACCTCACCTCACTATAACCTATAAGGTCTAAAGCGCGAGGAACGGATTCGGAGCCCTCAACGCTACCCGAAGGTTCAACTCTACCTTTTTTAGTTTTTCCATTTCAAGATCACTTAGAAATCAAAGAAGACCCTGGTAAAGACAAAGACACCTTTGCCCTTTCAACGGCATTAACCCTAGGAAGGTTGTCTATTTCATCAGCAACATCCCTCAGGTCCTCCTCCTCTATTTCTGGGGACCTATCACCCATGGCGAGAGAGAGGCAGATGAAGTTGTGGCTTTAGAAGAGACAGACATAACTGGGCAAGAAAAATGGAGGTTAAAAGAGTTGTAAAGGGGGAAACACAAGTAAAGAAGTCCCAAAGAGCCCAAGGGTCAAGACACCAGTGACCGAAGAGGAAGATTCTAGCAGTAGAGTAGGGATCCAACAAGAGAGGTAGAAATGACAAAGTAAGATCTCAATTCCTAAAATAACAAAAGCAAAAATTCTTGAAATTAAACAACTAACTTGAATTCGAGAGATCCAGATTGAAAGAAAAGAGAAAGGAACAAAGCAGGGGATGTACCTAGTTGGGAAAGATTGATAAACCAGGAACCAAAGGAAATTCTTAACAGACTAGGCCAGCCACGCAGAAACTTTGGAGAAAAATGGGGAATTTTTCTTGAAAACCCTAGATCCTCGACGAATAGGCAAGAAAGGAAGGGAAGAGAAGAAGTAAAGCCTGAAGACAGAATGTGAAAAGGGATCAAGGAAATGAAAGACGATTTTTTCATCTACAATGGCATTTAAAGCCAAGTGTACGTGGACCCTCGAAATAAGGGACATGCACTAGAAACGAGGAAAGCATAATTACACGTTCATCATAACCGTCAGAGTGAAATCCCATCACGCGCAAATCAAGGTCGACCTTAGGTAACCTTGCTCTTAGCATAATCCCTGCTCAAATCAACCTATTTGACCAGGGACTTGGGGGCAACTGATGGTACCACAAAAATATCAAAGGTTGAGCTCAATAACCCATGTCATGTTTCTCAAGTTGGGAGCTTAATTAATCTATATTATTTACAGACCTCGACCTCAACTTCAACACCATATGTCCACATCTCAAGGAAGGTTGTGTAAAGAACAGTTGGATCCCACCAAGCGCAATTATCGTTGCGCAATAAGGGCAATCGTTACGAGGAAGGAGCGAGGATCTCACCTAAGATCAAGTAAAATCCAGGGATAGCTATAAATAGGAGGAAAAACCCTAAAAAATGAGAAAAAAAAAGTCCATTGTAGCCTTACAAAATACTCTCAGTAAACTTCACACAACAATCAACATATTGAGGAGCAAGAGACTCATTCAAGAGTGGATTAGCCGAGCTCCCGAGCTGGTAAACTACTATAGACACTCCGTATAATTATGCACTTATCCTCAAATCCTATTCAATAAGAGTTTTGGAGCTCAAATTGAACTGATCCAGTTATTCAGTGTGCTTTATATTAACATCATTGCTCAGTCGTGTTAAGAACATCATCATGTGGTATAAATAACAACGGTAAATGGCATGATCGATTACAAAATATTATGATCAAATCATAAAAATTTTAAATTTTAAAGATCAAGTTACAACTCATGAAGGAAAATTACAATTGATTGAAATAATGTATGATCGATCACAACATTTCATGATCGACCATAAATAACGTTATTATTGTAACTTTACCTTGAAAATGTGCAATTTGAATGTTTGGTTCAGATACAAACAAATGATGAGATTGGATAATTGGTTCTAGTTTAATCCATACAAATGATGTTAATAAGAGTACTATTTAATTTTATTCTTTATGTAACAAGTTTGAAAAAAAGTTGGGATAATGTATAAATCTATAATCATAATTTAAAATTCATGTTTGGGTTAGGTTTTACTGTTTGGTATTAAATTAAAAATGATAAACTATTCATGTATGGGGGTGTGGATCTAGGGTACACAGGGTTAAAAACAGTTATTGCATTTTTAATATTGAATATGCTAAAAATAATATCACCTACCACATGGTATTTATTAATACATAATATAAGGTGTTAAATGACATTAGTGAAGTGGGTCGGGATTAAATAAGAAATTAATATCAGGTCAGATAACTCAAGAGTAATGCTATGGAGACATAAAAATATGACCTCATTTGCTGACATGATGATGTGGTTTTATTGGAATCATTAGATGAAGAGCAAGTTTTAATGTTTGATGGAACCCACAATCAATCCAAAGGTCAGAGTTAATCAAATCAACAAATGAAGTCAATTTTTTAAATCACAATAACATTACTCATAACGCAATTCAAATTTAGTACTCAATCATTACAGGACTAAAATAATCAAATCTAACATCTTAATACCTACACCAAACTATGCATACCCTAAAAGTAATAACTTTCTCGTTATAGTATAAAAATATTTTTTTAGTACAACAATGTTATCTCACATTTGAACCCCTGCCAATACTTCCACCTGTTCCAACACCCACATTTACCAACAAAGCTTGTTACAGCAACCTTTCCGGTCAAACATGAACCTCTACCAATACTCCCACGAGTTACCTCTATCACCACCACCTATAACTCCACCTCTACCTTTACCGGTGCTTCCACTTCTTGGATCCACAAAATCCCAAATTACTATAGAAAATATCTATATAATAAAGTAGCTTACAATTCAAATATCAAAAAATAAATAAAATAATTTTTGTTATTCGCAGTTGAAATCGCTTTAAATTTTACTTTAAAATTAATCTAACGGCTAATATTAACACCATAAATTTAATAGAAAAAAAGGTCTCTAAGGGTGTGTTTGGAATGACTTTTTAAAAATATCTCTAGAAATTATTTCTCATAAATAATTTAAATAAAAATATAATGTTAGAATCCGCCCCACCACTACCTCTACCACCACCACCACCACTGTCGCCACCACCACCATCGCCGTCGTCACCACCACCATGATTAACCCTAATTAATGTATAATTTAATTAAGTTGATAGGTCAATTGTATTAGTTAAACTAGTCAAATTAGGGTTAGTGTGTGAATAAAAGATAATGCATTAATTGTTGTTCTTTTCAGGGTTTTGTGCGTCAAAGCTACAAACTACTGGGTAACCAATTGTTGTTCTTTTACTTCCATTGCTTGAGCTTCCTTCTTTCCTTAGAGGAGTGAAACTCTTTCACTTTTCTATAGCTTTACCCAAGCCGTGAATGGTCGAACGTGATTCACTAATTCTTTATCGAAGATCGGCTCCTTGTGTAAACTGTTTTTACCTTGTAACTCCTCTACTTGGAGGGATGAGCATCACTCACTTTTTTAGCTTTAACAAAGTCATTAAGAGTGAATAGATTCTCATCCAATCTCTAGTAAGAGGTAATTATCCGAAAGTTATATTTATGCATTTTGTTTATGCTTAACTCTAGTCTTTATTTATTCATAATGTCTTCTCATCATATTGTTGTCATTATTTTAAGCATGAATAGCTAAATCTCTTAGTTGGCAAAACCAAGGGGAACCTCCACTTGGGTATACCATTTTCAACTCATTTTCCTCCCTTCTTTCAGAGTTCAATGGTTCGGTTTGACTAGGTTGAAGGTGGATAACTTGGTGAGTCTTTGATATTTCGTGGGCCTAGTCACGATTTATGCTTAGATACTCACCAATCTTATCCCTAGCTTCCCACGAATCAATCATTCATTCATGCTCTATTAGAGGAGGGTTTCGAGTTGAGAAGGTATTCCTATTGGAGTAACATCTTGGATTTTCCAACATTTGTTTCTCATTTTACTAGCATCAAAATAATTTTCAATAATCAAAGATTTTACACTTTCTTTCTCTCAAAATCACCTTCCCCTCGGTTTACTTCCTTCCCTGTGAAAATGACCTTGGAATACCACCAAGTAAAACACGATCCATATAAGTCTCCTTGTGCTTGGGGAGCATTATTTTTTACACACACACATTTGACATTTCATTCATCCACTATGTCGTTGCCCTTTCGTTTGACATCATCCTAAGGAGAGTGACACTCCCCTTCATCCATATACTATATATGTTAAAAGGTGATGTTTAGAGGTTAGGAAACAACATGGAATTTTGTCAAGTATTTTTGGCGTCGTTGCCAGGGA